AGTAGCAGGACAAGTATAAAAGATAATTAGCCAAACCACTCTATATCCATCTAGGTTTTTAATTTTTTATGTTCTTTTCGCGTAACTGAGTCTATATAAGAGGTAAGATAAAGCCGGATAATCTTCTCGGTCTAGTGTTAACATCTGACTTTTACAAGAATGACACCCTGCTCTGATGATGTCCATCATATGATGGACGAATGCTCAGCACTTTTTCACCCGAACCGAGGGAGGAAGTCCCGTGGACTGCGTCAACATGAATATCGTATAAAAACCAAACGGCTGAAGTATAACGAGATTTACCCGTCCTCATCTGGTGAGATCGACCAACAAATCTTTTCTTCATGCACTTTCATACTAAATGAAGGTCCCCCTAACAATGTTATCTCAGGAGTTTAATCAAAACCAAGTTTCTCTTAGTATCGATAGAAGTAGTTTTCGAGATTATCACACTTAAGTGAATATCCACTGTTTACCGAGCTTGTTGAGAGTCAAACTATGGACTTAATGAGAAGGACAGGTAAAAGTCGATCTATCCAAAATTGCATATTTGGTGGGACCTTTTGAATGATTGATGGAAATCGGGTGTTTGCCGTTAAACTTAGTACACTACTAAATTGTCACTAGTTGTAATTTTGTCGCAGCTATTCAGGCAACAAATGGAGTATCCTCTTGGAAATCAGACTCTTGATGGCCACGATTGATCAAGTCTTGGTAAACAAACGGTTACATACACAAGGTTACCTTAGAAATCTCCGTCTATTTATGTTAATATATATAAATATACTATACATTTTAAGCTTTTATCTTAAGAATACAATCGGCGCTTCGATTAAAGCCGAGGCTTTCTGGTTATTAGGCTTCGTGACTTACCGGCCAGAATAAATGGATCAGGAATTTCCGTGGGCACAGGAGACCAAGGGTCCTTCTGATCTTGGGTTGAGTTTACACTAGGATCGTTGCGAAGAACCACGTCACTGCCTGACACAAAGATATTGGAGAGCGAAATACGGTTCTGCCTGGACGCCTAGTGAATCAAATGGATTAGTCACAGGAAAGGTAGAAGTTAACTGAGGATCAAGTTTATGCAAACCAAATACACAGAAGGTCTCCAAAGCTAGTTTACCCCGGTTCTCCATCTTATTCCCCTATAACTTGATTTGATTATAAAATTTGCGTAAATCCTAAAAACGAGCTCCTATAATGTCTGATGCAAGCAAAATAGCGCTATTACTTGGCACTAAGAAGGAAACACAAATGTTAAGAAATCTACTTGTGGGAGCCTCTAAATACAACTGTTTATATTTATGCATACCTATAAATAATTGCATATGAGTGCATGCGTGTGTGTGCGTGCATATTTGCATAATTACGTGTGGCTGTGGGATTAATACTAGATTGATATAGGTAGCAAGCCAATCTGTTTGCAAGGAAAGCAACACAGCATACA